AAGCGCTGGCCTGTGCTGTCTGACTCACCACAGTCTGCAGAGCTGCCGGCAGCCACGTCTGTGATTATTAAGAGAGAGACGGCCCAACCGGCCTGGCTCAGTTGTTGAGCATCGACCTATGAACCATCAGGTTACGGTTCAACTCCCAGTCAGGGCACATGCCCGGGTTGCAGACTCCATCCCCATTGTGGGGCATGCAGGAGGCAGCCGATCAATGATTCTCTCTCATCATTGATGTTTCTATCTCTCTCCCCCTCTCCGTTCCTCTCTGAAACCAATAAAAACATATTTAAAGGAAAAAAGAGACACATGCGTTACCCACAGGTGCTCCATATGCCCCTTTTCCTCGTAGGTACGACGAGAAGAATAAGCAGTTTGCAATATTAATCGTCCAGCTGAGTAACCTTTCTGCCCTGTTGCTGCAGCAGGACCAGAAAGTGTGAGTATCTAGCGGGCAAGGTGGAGTGTGTGTCTTCCTCTCCGCAGCCATCCCTGGGTCACTCTCCTGCTCGGACAGCGGCCTCCGTAAACCTGCTGCGGGTATTTCATGCCTGTGACCTTGACGCTAAGGGTCAGGCAGTGAATGTGATGCGGGCACGGCGGCAAACACACCCGCTCTCCTGAGAAGCCCTCTGGACCCTTCGGTTCCTTCACATGTACGTCCTGTGCACCGACCGTGTGCCAGCACGAAGAACGGGCCAGGGAGCAGATCCCCGTGCCTGTGAACTTGAGGCCCCGTGGAAAAGGTGGCCATGCCCCCTTCTGTCTGCTCTGAGCTCAGGTGTTCCCCGCAGAGACAGGCGCGCCATCCTCAAGCGTCAGGGCCATCCCTGTACTTCTGTCGGGATTTCCTTGGAATGGGTCATCCGGCAAATACCTACCCTCTGCCTGTTGGCTCCTCACTGCAGACGGGTTCTGTTTCATTGAGCTCGTCTGCCTACCTGTTCTCCTCTCGTCTCCCTGACGACAGCAGCAGGCGCTCCTATTTCTGTGGTCTGCACCCAGCCAGCCTCCGGGGGTGCGCCATGCGGGAAGGAGGGGGGCAGGAGGAAAGCCGGCCAGGCAGAAGGAAGATGGGATAGCACCCGGGGGTTGTTTTCTGTCTCACGCTCACCCACACAGCACCGGGATGGGGAACCTTCTGCATAGCTCATGAGTCCTCCCACAGGTATCTGGGTGGGAGAGCCTAAGAGCGAGCTGTCTGGGTCCAAGGGTAAATGCCTCTGATTTTGTTCGGATGGCACGTTCCCCTCTGCAGGGGTCGTCACACTTTGCCTTCCTACCAGCAGCGGTACGAGGGCTCCTCGGGGGTAACAAGCAGCCTCGTCGGTCCTGCACGTGGACCTTTGCACACTGCTGGCCTCAGGCTCCCCATGCGTTGAGGTCCTAAGGACTTAAGAGATTCAGGGGGAGGAAGGGCAGTGCGTTATCCTTAGGGGCCCTCTGTACCCTTCACACACACACCTGCGTGACGACCTGAGAAATGACGGTTGTTCACTCTGGCATTTGCAGCACGCGGTTTGCCCCACACGTCAGGCCCAGACCTGGGCTGACCTGGTCTCTCCTGCATCTCTGTCTCCCTCCAGGAACATCCGTGTGGCCATCCTTCCCTGCTCCGAAAGCACCACCTGCCTGTTCCGGACGCGGCCTCTGGAGGCCTCGGACGCCCTCGTGTTCAATGAGGTGTTCTGGGTGTCCATGTCCTACCCAGCCCTTCACCAGAAGACCTTAAGAGTCGACGTCTGTACCACTGACCAGAGCCATCCGGAGGACTGCCTGGTGAGGGCTGTGTCTGTCTGTCTGTCTGTCCTCTGGGGAATTGTGCATCGTGTTCTGCAGGGAGAAGGTCTGGAAAAACGGCTGTAGGCTCAGCTGGGCTTCTGTGCAGAGACCTTTCCACGGGCAGATGGCACTCTCAGACTTATTGGGGGTGGGGGAGCTCGGTTCACAGGAGGAAGAGTGACAGCCCTGAAAATGTTTTTTAAGATGCCAGGACCTCGACGTTAACTAGCCGCATGCCGATAACTAGCCGCATGCCGTGGCTTTACCATGTGGCACTACAGGAGAACACATATACAGGGGCTCAGATCCCACCTTCACCACTCGGGGTGTAGCTGGGTGACCTTGGGCAATTTACTTGACCTCTCTGGTCCTGTTTTCTCATCCATAAAATGCAAATGGTAATGCCTGCCTCGTGCCCACTAGAAGAGTCGTTATAAGGATTACAAGAGACAGTTCATGTAAAGCACCTACTCAAGTGTCTGGCACACAGTAGGTTCTCATTGGATGGGGCCACTGCTAGTCCACTCCCCAGAGCAGAGCCCCTCCAACTTCCTCCTCCTCCCCCACCCCCATTGGCAGAAGTCGGGATTAGAGATGAAGTAGCTCCAGGTACGTTTGTGTTCCAAGAAAGCCATTCCCTAGAGCCAGGCTGACCCAAGTGCATAGAGGTGTTGCTCAGTTTTCTCATCTGTAAAATGGGGCTTCGAAGCTAACGCAGGCGCTTGTTGTAATGCACAAATGAGATAAGAGAAGCGGGAAAACTCCTTGCTCTCCATCCCCGACCCTGACGGGTTTGTGCTGTGAAACCCTGGTCTGCTGGGGATTGGGGGCCGCAGCTTTGGAATGCTGGCCCCTGGCTGTCACCAGCCCTGTGCTTCCCTGCGCAGCCTGAGTTCCCTAAGACAGTTCCTCTCTCAGTCTCAGTTTCCTTACCTGACAGGTGGCTCTCTGGGGGTTAAATGAGGTGCTCAAGCAGCACTTCCCAAACTGGTGGGAGACACGCACAGGTTACCCGGGGCTCTGGTGAGAACGCAGAGTCTGGTTCAGCAAGTCTGCGATGGGGTCTGAGGTGATGGGGTCCAAGGTTCTGCATTTTGACACGCCCCCAGGAGATGCTGGCACTGCTGGTGCCATAGCAAGGATGCAGAGCAGTGAAGAGTCTCCCTGGAAGCTGGTTCCTGTCCCTCCTCAGCTGGGTACATCACTGCATCTGCGGTTGTCATTAGTACCGACAGTTAGGCAATAGTCAGCATTTATGTGGCAGGCCCTGGGCTAAGCTTACATGTATTCTCTCTATTGATTCTCAGTCAGTCTTATAAAATAGGTCCTATTATACCAGTGAGGAGACTGAGGCACAAAGAGGAGAAAGGACTTTCTCAAGGTCACACAGTCAGGAGGTGGCAGGTGCAGAGTTAGAACCCAGGCAGGTTCGCCTCTGCAGCTCACCCAGGTCAGCCCCTCGGTGTGTCCTCAGTGCCGGCACCGTGCTCCCTGGAGCCCACAGGTGAGGATGGTGACCGAAGGGTGTGGCAGGCGTGGAGGACGCTGAGTGACAGCAGAGCGCTTTTCCGAGCCCGGGCTCCCCCCAGCCTAGCGTTTCCGCAGCCCTGGCCATGCCTAGATGGCAAAGACTCAGCCCTGTTTTCTTCTCCTAATTGGACGCCTTTTATTCCTCCTCCCTAATTGATGTCTGGCCAGTGCCGGTTGCCATGGCAGCAGCCAAGCGCTCATCCCACCGTGGCTTGTCTCCATCCTCGGCCAATGAGAGGCCTGTTTCTCCGTATCCTGTGGGGAGATGGAGTGTCAGGCTGTCGTGTTCTGGTGGCTGGAGGAGGCGAGAAAGTGAGACACGAGGGGATGGGGCTGTCTGCTTCCACGCAGAGGCCCCCTCACCGCTGCATTTGCAGAGTCTGAGCCATCTCGTCCGCCAGGCCACAGCAGTGCCCATCCTGGGTGTGTCCGTGTGTCTAGTGCTGGGCTGGGAACTTCGTGTGCAGTGTCTCCCGTCATCCTCACAGCAGCCCTGGGAAGCAGCGTTAGGATTACCGCTGTTTGACAGATAAGGGATCAAGGCTGAGTAACTTACCCGGGCCATCCAGTGAGTAGGTGGAGGAGTCTGGGTGTGAACACAGATCCCACGTCCCTTGTGCAGAGCCATCGCACTGTCCTACTTCTCACAGGGTCACTGTGCGTGTCTCTCGTGCCCCAGACCCAGATTAGGGGTTTGGAGGAGTACGTGGCCTGCCTTCCCCAGTATCACAGGCCACAGTCCTATCAGATGCTCTAGCGTGGCCTCACGGGTCACAGGCTGTCCAGTAGGGCCCTGGTCGCCCACATCTGACCACTGAGCTCAGTGCCACAGGTTCATGGTTAACCAGCACAGTGGTTCCCCACCCTTTCTCACCCTGCCACCCCCGCGTGGCACAACCCCAGGCCTGTCGCAGGTTACTCTCTCCCCCTGCGCAACAGGAGAAGCACGCAGCTGTGCTGGGTGGCGTTGCTTTGTCATCATGTCTCGAAGCTCCCGTGAGCCCCGAGAATGCTCAGCACTCTTCTCGTCTCCATAGACGGCTCCCTCCCCTCTCCTCCCAGTGCTGAGTTCTTTCCCTCTCTCCTCCAGCCTCGAGCAGCTCCGGCCCCACCCTCCGCGGGCCCTGGCTTCACTCAGTGAGAGGTTAGAAGGAACCCAAAGAGTTCCCACAGCTCCCACCACCTCTAGCTGGTCTCGTGGGTTCTGCCATTTCTCCTGGTTCTAAGGATGGGCCCTCCCCACCCCCGTCTCTGGCCATTCTCTCTCATGGACGGCACGGCCGGCCGTAGTGATTCTGCTCCATCCTGTCTTCGGGACTGCCGCCTCCGCCGCATCTGGCCGGTCAATAGACCAACATGCTGTTATTTCTCCTATGCGTCACAAAACCTTTTCTTTTTAACCCCATTTCTACCTGCTCCTGTTATCTTGGATTTCAGCCCCAAGGCTTGCTCCAGCCTCCTTGTGCCCTTGAATACACCTGCAAGCTCCCCGCTCCAGGCGTTCGCACTTGCTGTCTCTTCCGAAATATTGATGGACAAGACTCACTCCCTTGCCTCATTCTGGGCTTAACCCACATGCTGCCCACCTCAGTGAGGTCCTTTTTTAAAATATATTTTTATTAATTTCAGAGAGGAAGGTGAGAGGGAGAGAGAGAGAAACATCAGTGATAGAGAATCGTTGGCTGCCCCTGCACGCCCCCTACTGGGAATTGAGCCTGCAATGTGGGCATGTGCCTTTGATCAGAATCGAACCCGGGACCCTTCAGTCTGCATGCCAATGCTCTATCCACTGAGCCAAACCCGCTAGGGCTCAGTGAGGTCTTTTTGCAACCCTGTGGACAATCGCACTCCCCATCCTCTTTTATCCCCTCGTATACCCTTCCCCTGTATTATTTTCCCTGCAGCTTTCATCACCTAACATTTGTCTATAGCACAGATTTTAGGGTACACGTCATTTTCACATTTTATCATCTCTGAAGGTAATTTATACTAGATGGCGGCTCCTCTCTATTCAGTTGATTTGTTGTAGTTTGTTTTATCCTTAAGGGATCTATTTACATGATTCAAAGAAAAAAATTTTAGAAAGGTTTACTATAGAGAAACCCTCCTATCTTTATCCTGTCCACCCCAGTCCCACCACCTACTCTATAGGTAACCACATTCATTGGCTTTTTTTTTCTCTTTCCATTATTTCTTATATATACATATTGATTTCAGAGAGGAAGGGAGAGGGAGCGAGAGATAGAAACATCAACGATGAGAGAGAGTCACTGATCAGCTGCCTCCTGCACGCCCCACACTGGGGATCGAGCCCACAACCCAGGCATGTGCCCTGACCGGGAATCGAACCATGACCTCCTGGTTCATAGGTCGACGCTCAACCACTGAGCAACACCGGCCGGGCTTCATTTTTTCTTGTTGTACATAGGATCATGTGATCATGTTCACTCCCCCTTGTACCTCAAATATTTCTTATAGAAAATGTGGCACGCTATATATTCTGTCCTGCATTATCCTATTTTTCTCTTGAACAATCTAGCCTGGGGATCTCTCCATTTCAGTACCTAGAGATAAACATTTAATACGCTTTTGGCAAATGAGTAAACCAGTGAATGGATAATTTGTGAATGCATGATTGTTGGAAGTGATCAACGACTAGCCCTCCCTTCCGCCCCGGAAGCTTCCGTCCCACCCGGAGTGATGTTTTCCATACGGGGGCCAAATTCCCCAGCTCTCCTGTCGGCCCTGCTCCTAACTCTCCCTTTTCCCTCCTCACAGGGAGGCGCCCAGATCAGCCTGGCTGAGGTGTGCCGGTCTGGGGAGAGGTCGACTCGCTGGTACAACCTCCTGAGCTACAAATACTTGAAGCAACAGAGCAGGGAACGCTTTTATTATTATAGATGACCTGGAATGTAAGGCCACAGGTGGGACTATTTGGGGATGCCCTACAGGGTAGGAGAGATCTCCCCCACCTGCAGATTTCTCGTGCCCTCCCCTCTGTGCTCTCCTTGCCCTGATACAACTTGTGTGGTGAACACCTTCACTCACAACGTTTTAAAGATGAATTGGGGAAGAAAAGAAAAAACTGCAAGGTACAAAATTAGCCTTTATTGAGACCCTACTATGTGCCTAGCGGAGGCTTTCTGTAAGAGGCAGAGGGAAACCATGGGAAGAACAGCCAGGAGACTGGGGTGAGGGGTTTCTTTTTCTCTTTCTCTCTCTTTTTTTTTTTTTTTTTTAGTATATTTTATTGGTTTCAGAGAGAAAGGAGAAAGGGGAGAGGACAGAAACATCAATGATGAGAGAGAACCATTGATCGGCTGCCTCCTGCACACCCACACTGGGGATCGAGCCCACAACCCAGGCATGTGTCCTGGCTGGGGAATTGAACCTGACTTCCTGGTTCATAGGTTGACACTCAACCACTGAGCCACACCGGCCGGGCAAGAGACTGGGGCTTTCTTACTTGGGTGGCGGTGGTCCGTCATTTCACCTGTCAGCTTCTACACTTGTGATCTGGGTCAGAGAAGGTTGTTAGGAAGCTTTGGAGAAGTGCCTGTACAGAGCGCTTGATTAGTGATTCTGTTTTGTTAATTAGTTTTTCTTGAAAAATCTCACATTTGCCTCTTTTTTTAGTTAAAAAATACATATTTTCATTTTAGTGCGGTACACTTTCACCTATGAACTATCCTTAAACTCTTTCCTGCACTTGGAAAGCCCACATCCGCTGGCCACGTAGACAGGCCAGGGCTCTGTTGAGCAATGAAGTTGTCCTTGAACACAGAGTGATGGGGTCCTAATGGGGTCCCCTGAGAGCATGTTAGGGATCCTGCTTCTTCCCTCCATCAGTACTTGGTTACTTTGGGGAGTCACTGCCTAGAATTTCAGTGGACGGGATGGGCTAGGTCACTCAGGTATGGAGAAGGGTCAGAATTAAATCTATTTATTTCTCCCCCTCCTCCTCCTCTTCTTCCTCATTTTTTGTCATCATCATCATTTTCCGTACTTCCTTTTTTGTCAGGCACTGTCCTGATTATGTACAGTTTACCAAGGTTCAGAAAGGTTACTACCTAAGGACAAACATCTAATAAGCAACAAAGCTATATCGCAAACCCATGTCTCCTGCGCTCCAAACACGTGACCATGAGCTGGCAAAGGTCTTAACAACAAGACCCCTCTGCTTTCTAGAGCCTGTTCTTGGATAAGTCACATTAACCTGAGGCACATTCATTTTCTCTTT